CATCAGATCTGAGGCTGGTGTTAAGCTTCCTGCATTAGCAGAAGCCGTGTAATTAGTAGTGATAGGGTTTAAAACCATTAGGAAGCAGTTGTGGTTACTGGCTCCCATAATGAAGAAAGGGAAGCCATTAGCCTCTACCCACCAACTGGCTTTCAGTAGTCGCTGCCGGTAACTGTCTCTACTGTTAAAATGTTGCAGTCAGTCAGTAGCCTGCTGCCACTGGAGGCAGACTTAGTGCTTCAATGTAAACATTGCAGTTTTTTCTGGAACTGCAATGTTTAACATTGCAGCACTAAGTGCAATTGGGATACTGTACCCAGATCACTTCAATTAGCTGATGTGGTTTGGGTGCCTATAGTGTCCCTTTGACACATTGATACACAAAGCCCGGTCGTGCATGTAAATGAAAATAAAATAAACCAGAAAGAATGTTATAACAATTCTAGCACCACCTATAGCTAACGTTTAGTTAGTTATTAGGTTATGCTAAAATTCCTTGTCAAGCTTTATGCGTGACAAGAGGGTTAAAAGTTGAAAGAGAAGATTGATGTACAGATTTCTATACATATAGATCAAATCTGCATTATGACTAAACAGCAGAAACATTAGGTTCTATAGATACGGGTACAGTAAGACAGTAATGAGTTAAACAGATGAGGATGTCAAATTAAAGGGACATGCATCACTTGACAATATTTTTTTTTAAACCACCCAAGTAAAAATTTTAACAAATATACAAAACAAAATAAAGCAAGAACAACTTTTAAAAGTATGTAATACATGCTTATAAGCTTACTACAAACTTGGTTAGATTGCATTTCTCAGAATACTTACTCTCTATAAATACATATATAGCAAAGTATGTAACTCATGGGTTTAAATTATTTAGGATTTCATTGTTATAACTGAAAATAAAGGACAATTATTTAGTATAATTTGATTGTTATCTAGTTAATTTGTTATCAGTTTGATACTATTAAATCATTAATCTGCAGTGTACATATTGTCATGGAATGCTACACTACACTGTGTTTGGCACTAACACTCACCAGTCATACTTTAGGCTGTGATACATACAATGAGTCAACTTCCTGTGTTCAGTGATGACTGCACTAACCGTATAACTTAAAGGGACATTGTCAGAAGTTTAGATTTCAATTTATCTTTACAGACCATTAACAATAAAAATGAACCACTAAAAAAATCTCAGCAAGTTTTGTTTCTTAGATAGAGCATGACATGAAGAAATAACTTTTATTTTAAGGAACATTCTAGGTTATAACACTCCCAGCACTCTCAGCCAATCACTGTAATCCACAATGGACGGAAGTGATATTGATAATGCCGAAGTGTTCATCCCACATTTTCACTACACATTTATTATTTAAACTAGGACTTTGCCTTCTTTTGGATCAACAGCAAAAACTAAAGTGAGCAAGGCTGAACTTGATGTCTTCGAAGTATTTTTATACTGATCAGTCACAACATTAAAATTACCTGTCTAATAAAGTGTAGGCCCCCCGTGTGCTGTCAAAACAGCTCTGATGTATCGAGACATGGATTCCACAACACCACTGAACGCGTCCTGTGGTTTCTGGCACCAAGACATTAGCAGGAGATGTTTTAAGTCCTGCAAGTTGATCGGATTTGTTGTCCCAGCATATCCCATAGATATTCCTGAACAATATTTGCAGTGTGGCAGGGTGCATTATCTAACAACTGTTAAATAAAGGGACTAAAGAACAAAGGGTACCAGCAAACCGTCACACAGCTCGTTTTCCCCCATTAAGCCTCAAGGACAAATATGGTTTTTAGATGGAGATAAAATTCAGGCAGCCGTCGTACAATCACAGTCCTTACACATCCTTTTGTTGGACCTGTAATGAACCTAAGAACAAGGATTTCTTTGAAACTATAAATCTTTATTTTTATTTTTTTTTACACAGATACATATCAGCTATTGTCAGATTCCGTTAATTACTGCCGTCTAGTCATCGCTCATTATAAAGTTGGATAAACAAACAAAAGTCATATGGTCTTTGCTGGAAGTGTGAACACTCACTTGAAAGGCACAGTTTTGTTATGTGTAACACTGCTAAAGATGTTACTTGCTGGAATTTCACGAAAACATTTGGATGAAATAGGCTCACAGATGCTCGATTGGATTGAGACCTGAGACCTTGATACCCAATGACCATCTTTGATCAGGAACTTTGTCAGGCGTCACAGCAGTGTGCTCCGTGTTCACCAGGGCCCTCTCTACTTTAATCCCACCACTGCGGCAGTTGCTTTGTGCATAGTGGGAGATCTCCATATTTGTCAAACCTCTTCATACCAGCTTGACATTAAACTGTAGCAGTTTTGGTACTTAGAACACCCCTTTCAAGAAAGGCAAAAATGATTTCATTGCAGTAATCAACTGGGTTATTTATTTACTTATTTATAGAACTAACTTGCTTGCATTTTAATTTGGGGCAGAAACATGGGATTTTAAATCGATGTCTTTTTCAAAGAATTGAGTAAAAGAATGCAAACATGCACTCAGCACTTTTATGTTGTATTTAGTTTTTTCCGATTCATGCCAGTTTAGGTGTGGTCGACATTATCTGTGGCTTGCAAACTCAGAATAACTTGAAGTAAACTGCACAAAGAATTAGTGCCCTAGAGCAGTGTTTCACACACACCTTTTTTAAACCAACCCTAGTGTCAGAATCTGCTTACTCCACCCACCTCACTCTTACTGATACTATCAGAATATTCCAAATATGTATCTGTGTTTTTTCTTTGTTTTCCCACAAAAAGTCCTCTTTGATATGTAATTAGATAACTTAAGCATGCTTATAGTTAGCAAATGAAAGGTTGTGCTTTATAACACATAGAATACATGTAATACTAGAAATGTATTTAAAGTACATGGAGTGTAATTAATTAGTACATGGAGTGACTGACTTCCCCCAGCAGCATATAAAGACTACAAATACACTTTCCATTTGCAAACCATTAGCATAAATAGGTTATGTGGTTCCATGCAAATATGGTGACTCTAGAGACCGTACCTGTAGCATAATACGACATATACAATTTTTTTATAAATTTTTATTTGGGTTAGACATAAAAGGAGAGAAGTATTCTAATTACAGAGGCATTAAAAATAACAGCATATCATGTCCTAAATCCAAAATTATACCGTAGAGTGAAGACAGTATCAAATCTAACTTGCACATTAGCAATCCATAATAAAAATGATCAGTTAAGATTTTATGAGTAATGGTGAAGGAGCACTATATCGTTAGAAATGCTAATGTGTTTTCCTAATGCTTGAGTGTCCTAGTCACCGGTTTAGTGACCCCCACCCCACCTTTCTCCATGGCTGGTCACACCTCCTTGGCTGAGATCATTGAGATTAATAAACTCAGCCAATCCCCAGGTAAACGACACTAATGCACGCGGCCATCCACCTAATCTAAAAGAAATCATGATTCATCAAGCCGGGCAACTTTCTACCATTGCTCCATGGTCCAGTTTTAATGCTTACGTCTCCATTGAAGGCACTTTTGAAGGTGCACATGCGCAGCAAAACACAAGGCTGAACCAATCAGATGGTCTCTATGAGTCTTTATGAGACCATCTGATTGAAATAGCAGAGTTTTACTCAACTGTTTCATTGGAAGCATATATTGTGGCTTTCTGAGTGACAATCACAGTGTTTTACACTGCAGGGGCAAAACTACAAGGGCATGGCAACAAAAATACTTAATTGAGATGAAGTGGACTGGGTACCTATAATGTCCTTTTGAAGGAACACTCCAGACCCCTAAAGCATTTCCATTTCTATTGAGATCTGCACTTTTTACAAAACGAAAAAAGTGTGGATTATGTTTTTTCATTTTGCTAAAAGTGCAAATTTCAATAGAAATTTATAAAAATGTACACCCCCTTGGCTTTCAAGCAGACACCTGGTAATATTACTGCATGGTTTGCTTAGTTCAGTGGCGCTAAACTCAAGGTGCATTTACACGTCTTACCAAAACTTCTCATTGAGCTGCATTGGGTAGTCTGTGATTGGACAGTCACAGAAAGTCTGGGAGGAGTTAGAAGGGGAGGGTTTGCAAAGGCTGCAGACAAGAGAATGCAGCTTTTGCAAGTTGTTTTTAGATTTACCCTCAATGAAAAAAATGCAGGATTAAATGCATGCTACTTATAAATGCCAGTAATAAATAAATGTGGGGTTTAGCTACTAAAAAGCGATTTTGCACACAAACTCCAGTGCATGACAGCCTCATTTTTTTAAATATTAAACAACAGAAATAAATCAAGGTAGTCAAACAACATACACGGGTACATTATCCTAGACAGTTATTATAATCTTACCTAAGCAGTAGAGGGCTATCTAGGCCAGATAAACGACTGTGGAAATGTTATATTTGCAGATTTAAGAGTTAGTGAAAAGTAGGTTAAGTACACATGTCGTAATTCCATAGGTTAAGTACTGTAGGTTTATTCTTCGAGAGAGACTGCTGGATAAAATGGGTCTCAAGTTACTATGCTGAATTCAGCTGTTTAGGTAACACAGTGGCATTGATATGCAAAAGGAAGTGCAGTAATTCCAGGTAAACAATCGGGTTATGCAATCTATCGAGACACTCCACTCCACTAAGCTACTGCATCACTAAATTCAATAGTTAGTCCCTGCTGTACAGTATTGAGCTACGCACATCCTACAATTAACATAGATCACAAAGTGAGGTTCCTGTGTAGATTAGGTGATACAGGTGTGTGAGTGCTAGATGGGATGGCTGTTTGTCTAGTTTGAATAAAATGCTCAGGTTCAGTAGATGTACAAGGCCTGGTGCGAGCAGTGTAGCTAAATATGCTGAGCAGGACGCTAGACAGTGCCCCATTTATGAATAGACTGCAAGCTAGATGAATAAAGGCATATGGTCAACATGTGAAGCAAGAGTGAATATAAGCCACTGGAGTCTCGTAAGGGGGAGTCTACGCTACTCTCTGGGATCAGCTTTCATGAAACTGCTGGTGTATACACGCAGGGGAACCCACTGGATCATCTGGTCTTGGCTTCCCGTTGGTGAGTAATAGCTGCAGAGTCCCAACAGAAAGGGTGGTCTGGTAAACACCACTCCGCCAGCTGTAGGCTCTGCTTGAGCCTGCCACCTGTGCCCACGGTTTCCACTCGGAGCCAGTAACGGAGATCCTGGCTGGGATGTTCTGCCCAGGAGTGGGATCGTGGTTGGAGGGGTGTCCTCTGGGGGCTCAAAGCCCAGGAAGGCAGTCGTGGGGACCAGTCCCATATGCCGGGCCTGGAGGATTGGACAGCAGATATTCCATTGCCGTTTGCTGGTGAGACGTCCAAGTCCAGGATGAGAGCTTCGGTCAGCAGACAATATGGCATGTAAGGTTGTCCGCATTAATTAGGCAGAGCTTTGACCAGTGTAGGCCACGTGAACACCATTTTGTGGATTAAGCATGGGAACCCATTCACTTGGTAAGTTCAGCAGTGGTAGTCTGTGTGGCGTCAACTCCCTCCTGTGGGGACGTGGATAACCCCCACAAGTACAAAAAGGGGGAGAGTCGGGGCCCGTGAGGATTATCACAGTGCTGTTGTATGACACCAGGTATATGACCAAAGCAGCGGCAGTCTGTCCCTCTCCTTACGTCACCCTCATGGGGCATCAAAACTCCCGGGTCTTGGGGTCCACGGTAGTGCCAACAACCTCCTGCAGCTGTTAGGTAGCTTCAGTGGTTGGACTGTAGCAATGTGCCTGGTTTTCTATCCAGAAAGGTCAAAATCTGCAGGAGCCACTTCAGCATGAGACCAGACAGCATGGCGGCCAGGCCTAGCCCCCGTGATTTTAATTTTATTTGGGTTGTGGAATGTCTCTTTAACCAAATATAAACGAAAACAAAATCACTAGCCTGTTGCCTTAGGATCAGACAATATAACTTTTGATGAAACCATTTTAAAGGTCATTGATGATAAGGTGAAGTTCTGTTGGTGGAAACCCATCTTAATTTGCAAGACTTTCAGCATTTCAGGTCACAGTAAAGTCAAAGAGTTACTTAGTTCAGCCAGGGCGTGATTAATTCTATGCCACAAACCACTATGTTTACTGAACACAGATGGCATAGCAGTTGCAGAAGATGCCATTAACAGGAAAGCACTTTTATATTTTCAAATTCTGTTCCTGCTATAAAAAAAAAACTATTTGCTAAAGAATGTGGTTTCCTTTTTCTTCTCTAATACCATGTTCATCAGCCGCATGCCTATTCTTTATCAGACCTTTCTACTTCTACACCTACATAACAATGGCTCTTGTTCTGAAACCAAATGGGGAACACACAAAATAATATTTAGAACTAATAATATTCTCCAAGTTAGCCATGCTTCAATTTTGGCTACCTTAGATTTGAAATTCACTTTGAATTTCCAACAATTTCTCACTTTAGTGGATAGCCCTGAAATAGTTAGACATTTCCAGTTATCACAAATACAATGTTATTTTGTAACACTGCTACAGCCCCCATTGACCTGTGAATAGACCCCTTGAGTATCAAAGCACATTAAAATGCTGTCTACTGTAACACAGATCACTCTCAGTCAGACAATTTGGGGATGGGGGATATAAATACACAGCATGCATGACCAACATAACTAATCACACATGTAAATCAGATCTCAATACGAAATATATTTTCTCTAACAGAGTCCATATTTGTAATTCCAGCTTCTTTAAAACAAAACATGATCTTGTATCATAATGTAATTGAAAGGGACACTATAGTCACCAGAACAACTGCAGCTTATTTTTTCTGATAAGTATAATCAGCCCCTGCAGGCTTTTTGCAGTAAACACTGTTTTTTAGGAGAAAATGCAATGTTTACATTACAGTCGAGTAATGCCTCCCCTGTCTACTAGAGGTGCTAGGATTAGATGAGGACAAGAGGATGATAATGGGCTCAGGCTGCAGTCTGGCACCACTGGTCTAGTGTAGAACACGCTCTCTGGAGGCTGTAATAGTGCTCACAAAAATCAACAAACAGGAAGCAGTTCCATTTTTTGGGGCCCCTTACACAGCTCAATGTCTGGGTCCCCAGGGCCTGACCCTGAGTATGCCGACATGTCCACCTACATGGCCCACTCATGAGTTCACTCACAGGGAGTGGAGTGTATGTGTGTAGGGGTTGTGTTGTGTGTTATTGTAGAGGATGTAATGTGTGTGTTCTTATGGAATGTAGTGTATAGGGATGCCAATTTGTGTAAAGGATGTAGTGTGTGTATAGGGGATGCAGTGTGTGTTTGTGTGTAAGGAATGCATTGTGTGTGTGTGTGTGTGTGTGTGTTTGTGTGTAAGGGATGCATTGTGTGAATCTGTGTTTGTCTGTGTAAGGAATGCAAGGTGTGTTTCTGTGTATTTATTGTAATGCAGTGTATGTGTCTGTAAGGGGTGCATTGAGTGTGTATAAGAGATTCATTTTGTTTCTCTCTGTGTGTGTGTGTAAGAGAAGCAGTGTGTGTGTGTGTGTGTGTGTGTGTGTGTGTGTGTGTGTGTGTGTGTGTAATGGATGCATTGTGTGTTTTTGTATGTAAGTGTAGGATGCATTGTATGTTTCGGTGTGTCTGTGTGTGAGTAGGGATGCATTGTGTGTCTCTGTGTATGTGTAAGGATGCATTGTGTATTTGTATAGTGTGAAAGAATTGGTATGTGGGGTAGGATAGGGGCTATATTTATTTTGTTAATATACTTTTTTTGTATATATTTTTTTCTTTAAGTTTTGTGTCTTACACCCCCCTTTAGTTTATCTCTTAAAAGCCCCTTGTGTGTCTCTTACCCCCCTCTCCTACATCCTCCCAACCCCCTTGTGTGTCTTACTCCCCCAATACCCCTTGTGTCTTACTCTTCCCAGCTCCTTTGTGTGTCTCTTTTCCCCCCAGGCTCCTCTGTGTGTCTCCCTCACAGGTGACTCTGTGTGTCTCTCTCCTGAGCCCCTCTGCATGTCTCTATCTCCCTTACAAGCCCTTCTGTGCTTCTCTCTTACCCCTTCCTCAGCCTCTCTGTTTGTCTTACTCTTCCCGTCCCTTAAAGGTCTCCCCTCCTGCCCCTTAGTGCTCTCTCCTCCCCTCCCCTCCCTTAGTGTTCCTCTCCCCTCCCAGTCCCTTAGTGGTCCTCCCTCTCCCCCCACCTTAGTGTTTATCCCCTACCCCACCCCCCTCTTAGTGGTTCTGTCTCTACCCCAACTCCTTAGAGGTCCTCTCTTCTCCTCCTCCCCTGCCCCTCTTAGTGGTTCTACCCCCCCTCTTAGTGGCCCTACTTCTCCCCCACCCCCTTAGTGTTCCTCTCCCTATCCCCCCCCACTTTAGTGGTCCACCCCCTAGTGGTCCCCCCTACTACCCTTTTTTGTGGTCCTCCTCTTCCTTACCCCCTTGTGGCTCCTACCTATCTTTGTAGTGTGGCCGGACGGCGCGGGCGGCGGACCGCGGTACAGGAGCTTCTGTTTCCTGTACCCAGCTGGACTGACAGGAAGTGCTCTTTCAGTAAGCACTTCCTGTCATTCTGGCTGGGTACAGGAAACAGATGCTCCTGTACCGCGGTCTACCGCCCGGCCACGCTTACAATGAGTGATTGGTCATTCAAATCTTGCGCCCCCGTGCCGGTGCCCCCTAGGCGTCTGCCTAAGTCGCCTATAGGACGCGTCAGCCCTGGGTGTCACCCTCGCCGTGACGCACACCCTGGTGTGGTCTGCACCCCCTCCACTCCCCTTGTGACTCCACTGATTCTGAACTTACCTCACTTGGCATTGGTGTCATAAAACCTGTGCCAATCAAGAGAGCCAAGTTATTGTTTTTGTTTTGTCTTACTGCTGTAAAGTAGCTAAGTCGCTTTTTCAGAACAAATGTTTTATAAATTGTTTGTTTAACTCATCAGTTTTTTGTTTGTTTATTTTAAAATTAAAGGGCTTTTTTCTCACTTGCATTGGATTTTGCTTAAAATAGAAAACCTGGCAAAGTTCTGAAGACTGACCGGTTTTCTGTCTGGCTCACAGTTTCCAAATTCTACACAGATAATCCTTTTTGTTCATGGAATATTTCACAACGAGAGGACAAAACGTAATGTTTCTGTCTTAACAGAGGATGTTAGAAAAACTGCCTAGCTAGAAATATTTCTGGACTCACACTTCATATAAATAAGCATCGGCACAGACAGAATGATTATGGCACATGATCAGAACCAAACTGAAATGGATAAAAAAAAGTTTCCAAATAAAATAGCACACCTGGGACATTTCACACTTGACCAATGGCAGATTTATTATGAGGTACACTCCAATACTACAATTTATGATACTTCCAAAGAGGAAACTTTGCAAGGTCCTTCCCAATCTGCTACTTTGGAGTAATCAGAGCTAAATGGATTAGGCACCACTTCTGCAAGTCAGTGAACATATAGGAGAAGATGATCTTAAACAGTTCTTCATTAAATTCCAATTCTGCATAAAAAAAATGTCAAAACTCAACATTCGAAAATCACAGCAGAAGAGAAATTCTTGTTTCTGCAAAGGTTTCTAAAGAAAAAACTAGTGATCTATATCCTGATTCATCCATGGTGCCTACAGAATGCACACATATTTATTTAAGGAATTTATTTGTTTGATTTATCTTTTTTCTCTTCTTCTAATCAGGGCCGGTGCACCCTAGGCAAGACCGGCTACTGGCCCCTCCACTCACCCAAAACTAATATTGCCAACCTTTTGTGTCTCTTTCTTCCTCTAGACCCTTTGTGTGTCTCTTTTTCCCCTTCCCCACCACCTCTGTGTTTCAATCCCCCACAGCACCACTATGGGTCTCTTTCTCCCCACAGCCCCTCTGTGTGATTCTTTGTACCACCAAACATACTTTGGGGATATATATACCACTAAGGAGTTGGTGTATATAAATCCCCAAAACACTAATCTAGATTGTTATTTATTAGGTATCTCTAGCTTACAAAATGCTTTGTTTGGGTGTTTTATAGTAGATTCTCTAACATGCTAATTTCCTACTGTCATGTACATGTGATTTTATTGCTTTCTAATCAGTATGGATTAAAGCATACTGCTTTTTCTACAGAGCTGTTAGGATTAAAGGACCACTCTAGGCACCC